GCCACCCAACTCTCACCAGTGGCTCCAAGAAGCTGTAGCATGCACAGAGGCCACACCCTGGTAAAACCGTCTCAACATATGGGCTTAACCAAATTGAGGTTAACTGAAAGGCCTCAAACCTGTCAGTAACTTAGGGGGATGTCTACTCCAAACACATGAAGACTTTCCCTTAGGTGGAATGGGCAGATAAGAACTATTTGTTCCAAAGCTATGAAGGCACTGTGGAGTGCTTAGGCCTTGGCCAGGCATCAAAGATGTCAAGGTAATCCACTGCATCCTGGGCCATCTCCAGTTGTCCTGACTTTGGTTTTGCCACTGGACTTCAATGACTCTGGAAGAGAGAGTGAGACTGAGGACTTTGTGCAACTCTGCCTCACTTAAATCCAATTCATGCGCAAGTCAAGATATCACCCCATAATGTCATTGGTCCTCATCAAAATGAAGGATGAACAGCACCCAGTTCTGGAACCATGAACCATAATTGAACAACTCTCTCATTGTTCCTGTGCAAAACCCTTTGGCCTCATTCACCATCCTTTCTTTCCACACCAAAATATTCTTCCCTAAACACTACTCTTCCTTGTGTGTTGTTTCTCCCATTAAAATGTAAACTACTTGAAGGCAGATTTCTTTTACTTTTATAATTAAAGCACTTAGAATGGTGTTTAGAACATAGTAAGTACTTAATAAATGTTTTTCATTCATTCTTTTTTTCCATTCCTTCGTTCATCCATCCATCCATCCATCCATTCAGTAGTAGCATCTATCTCTCAGAATAGATATGAAGATTAAATGATATATGGTATGGAATATGTTTTTCAAGCCTTAAGTGATATTGTACATGTGAACTCTCATCATCATCATTATTATTACTAAAGTATGTCTCTATACAGCAATATGATAGCCAATGTAAAATTCAGAATCTCACTTTGATGGAAAAAATGGCTTGTTTCTGAGAGAAGTCCTAGAGCTAAATTATCTACATGTAGAGTAATTAGATGGAATCAAGTCTTCTGCATTTTATGCTCCTAGGATTTAGAATTCTAGACTTTAGGAACATGTTCATCATGGTCAATGCTTTCATTTTCCAAGGGAGAAAAATGACCTCGGGCATGTCACTGTACTTCTTGGGCTTCTCAGGACTAGTTAGTAGTAGAGAATGGGCTAGAACTCAGGGGGCAAGAGGCCATTCCCCTGGCCATTCCCAGGAGATGATAGAGCCAACAGCTCAGATTGGGAAAAAAGGGGCCTGATTCTCAAAAAGTTTATTATACCTAGAAAAGGCTCCGGGGGCAAGGTGGGAGAGCTTGGGCCATAGATCTAGAATTGGAGGTGTTCTCTGGGATCATCTAGTCTGATTCTCCCATTTTACAAGTAGAGAAACTGGGCTCAGAAAAATTAAGTGCCTTGCCCAGTGATACAGAGTTCCAGAACTAGGATTTAAGTTCAAGTCATCTGATTCCAAAGCCAATTCTCTTTCCACTGCACTTCAGCATGAGGTAGAAAGACAATAGAAGGATTAAGGAATTACAATTAATCTTTCCCAAATAATTTCTTCTGTGTTTATCTATTTTAGTAGCTCTACCCCAATAACATTCCAATTCAATAAATCCATTTCCAAGGGCATCAAGTACTCCAAACTCTTCACTAGAATAAAGTTCATTAAAGTGAAACCAGTCATGGCTCTCTCATTCTCTTTATGAGGTATGACACTGGCAGAAGCTTCATGGACTTTTGATATAGATCGTTGTTCACTTATTTCAGTCATGTCCAACTCTTTATGACCCCATGTGGGGTTTTCTTGGCAAAGATACTGGAGTGATTTGCCATTTCCTTCTCCAGTTCATTTTACAGATGAGGAAACTGAGGCCAACAGGGTTAAGGTATTTGCCCAGGATCACATAGCTAGTAATTGTCTGAGGTCAGATTTGAATTGAGGAAAATGGGTCTTCCTGACTCCAGGCCCTGTGCTAAGCACCTCTAAAAATGAGATGCATAGTCAAGCATTATCTGAAGACCACCTTTGGTAGTTTCATCACATTTCATCAATTCATCAATTTAGGTTCAGTTCCATTTGGTGTCAAAGAATGAAGAAGACAGGATTTTGGGGAGCTGAAAGGGACTTTAGAGATGAAATAAACCTAGAAAATGAGGCATAGAGAGGTAGAATGAATAATGAGTCACCAGTAAGCAAGAGAGCAGCAAGAATTATTAACAACTCATTTGACTTGAAATCTAGTGTTCCTTTCACTAGGGGAACATTCACTCATGTGGTAAGAGGGTGGATGCTACTTCATCAAATCCTAGCCTTCAAACTAATCCCCTTTTAATAGATGAGGAAACTGAGGCCCAGAGAGATTAAGGGACTTCCCCAACATCACTCAAGTAGTAAGTGTCAAAGCCAGAGAACTCAGGTCCTATTTACTTATTAAATCCATCAAACACTCCTAATTTTTCACTGTTGCTGTTGTTTTCCATAGCCTATCTTTAGGAAAAGCTATCTTTTTAGAGTTGTTTTATTTCCTTTTGGGAAATACGTCCAGATTTGTTCACAAAGTCTCTAGAAAGTCACTACTGTTTTGGACAATGTTCAACAACCTTTTAAAAGTTATTTAGCTCATAATAATTTTGTGAGGCTGTAGGGAGTTCCATTACTATTACCCTGATATTATAGTGGAGGAATCTGAAGTGAAGAAACATATTACTAAAAGATATATTTGACTCCATCATTTCCGTACTCAAAAGTTTTCAATGTCTCCTATTAGAATAAAAAATTCAATTAAAAACCTTCAGCCTGATATGGCTCCCAACTGCCTCTCAAGTCTTATAATATATTCCTACTCTTCCCACTCTCTCCATTTCAGTCAGACTAACCTAATCGCTATTCTTGGACATGACATTCCATTTCCTACCTCTGTGTTTCTGTGCAGGCGGTGCTCTCCCTACTCACCTCCAAGTTGTAGAGCTTCCTTCAAAGCCTCGTACAGGCACCATCTCCAACACAAGACATTTCTTCATCTCCCCAGTTTTTAAGTGCTCTTTTCCTCTTGGAATTACAATGAATTACTTTGTACTTATCTATATAGATGTCTATCCTTTCCAGCTTCCTAACCTCCAACCTTCAGTGAAGCCTCTTGAGAAAAAAGGGCCATTTTTTTCCTCTTCGTTCCTATGAAAAATTGCTTTGCACATAGTAGGGCTTTAACAGATGGTTGCTTAATTGAATTAATCAAAGTTTCATAGCTAATACATAGCAGAGGCCAGATTCAAAATCAATTTTTTTTATTGTCAAGGCCAAGGTCTTTCTCACTCTTCTACACTACTTTGCTTCCTTTGAATGAACGTGATGAATGGCATTGATGATGTTTTGTTGTTGTTGTTGTTATTTTGTTTTCTGATCTTGGGCAAGCACCAATAGTCAGCTATCTCGAACTTGTTACCTCTCCCGTCATAGTGTACGTAGGTTGGGAACCAGACCTCACCGTACTGTGAGATTCTCATTCTGCCACATAATACGGCACTTGAAGGTACCATAAGATATTCACTCTACCATCCATGACCTGTACTCTAAGATACTCTACCTCAGGGAAAACATAAGGCTAGGGGGAGTGATTATACAATTACAGATAATCATTCCAAGAGATGACAGTGATTCAGCATTTAGAATCAAGCAATATTACAGCTGGGAGAGACCTTAAAAATTATCTAGTATAACTACTTCATTTTACAGAGAAGGAATTTGAGTTCCAGAGATTGAAAGACTTGTTTAAGGTCACACAGCTAACTAATGCCAGAACTGAGGCTGGAACCCAGGCAGCTAGGTGGCATAGCAGATAGAGCATTGGACCTGGAATTAGAAACAACTGCATTCAAATCCAGCTTTAGAAGCTTCCTAGCTGTGTGACCCTGGGTAAGTCACTTCCTAACTTCTCTTTCCTCATCTGTAAAATCGAGATGACAATAGCCCTCACTTCCCCAGGTTGTTGTGAAGATCAAATGAAATAATATTTGCAAAGTGCTTTTCAAACCTTAAAGTACTAGATTAATGCTGTGTCATTCAGTTGTTTTTTCAGTCGTGTGCAACTCTTCATAACCCCATTTGAGGTTTTCTTGGCAAAGATACTTGGGTAGTTTGCCATTTCCTTCTGCAGCTCATTTTACAGTTGAGGAAACTGAGGCAAACAAGGTTAACTCACTTCCCCAGGGTCACACAGCTAGTGTCTGAGGCCAGATTTGGACTCAGGAAGATGAGTCTTTTTTGACTCTGGGCTCAGTGCTTTCTCCACTATTCCACCTAGCTGCTCCAAATGAATGCCCCATATTAAAGTTAGCCATTATTAACTCGCAGTCTAGTGATTTTTTTCTCTATGCTATTTAGGATTCCTTCTACGTGGAATCAACTGTATGATTCCAGAATTTTCTTTTTCTATTGCGTGGGCCTAAATATTGCCCACATCCTAATCCAGCTTCTAAAAAGTCACTCCAGAACTACAGTAAAATGCCATTTAAAAACAAAAGTAATAATGACTACTGCAATTTTCTCATTATTTAGCACAGGCTCAATTGGAAGTAACAGGATTGTTTTATCCAGAAATCAAAATAATCCTTTTGCTGATCTTTAATGAAGCAAATGGAAACCCCTTTGAACACCCACACATTGTCCTGAAAGACAGATGTTCGGGATAGGGTCCGTTCTAAGTCCTCAGCAATGTTTGTTTAATGTTTGTTGAGCTACCATGTCTGGCGGACAGGTCTGGTCCTTTTAACAATTATTTGGAAGAGTTCTCAACTTCCATGGCAGCTGGCTTCTGTTCAATGTCAATATACACATCTTAACAACTTTCGTTAATGCATCCATAACTTGAGGGAGACTTAACCTGCCTGCTTAACTAAAAGGAAAAGCCATTTTAGGTGCCACATTACAGAGAGGGCCAGAGCAGAAATATCATTCCCCCAGAAGGCTGTTCCTCCTGCCTGGAATACAATGAGAGAAGGAGGGATACATAATCTAAGATTTTTAATTTTATGTACAGGAATATAAGATACGTCAGCTTTGTACATGGGTACAGCATTTAAACATCAAACTCAACCAGACAGGAATTTGGAATTGTGATGAAAGCTACCAGAGTACAGGCTGATATTAGGTTGGTAATTAGACATAGCAAGGATTTAATAGTTTACAATCATAAAAACACCAATATTTAAAACGAGACTTTATAAAATAATTTACAGACAACCTAGGATCTACAGAGGGCATTTGCATTTGTGTGTGTGTGTATGCGCCTAATGAGTGACATCTTTCAGGGTTTGAAGTAATAAGATAACTTAGAAGCAGTTCATGCAGTATGAAAGCAAAGGATGGCAGGAGATTCTTTCCATGTTTCCTGCAGCTGTTGATGTAAACCAAGAGTCCAGTGGGGAGCTGGACCACCCAGTAATACATCTTCCAGATGCCATCCAGGAGCACCTGGCCCAGTCCCATATGACAATGGCATAGATAAACATAAATATACAAGTTGCTATCTTTTCTTACACAGTACAAATACAGGCCACAACTTCCCTCAGCTGTGTGATAGTCAATTGTTTACACATAAAGTAGGATACTGTTCACCTTGACTTCCCCATAGTTTATTTCTTGATGCCATCACTAGCAGAATTTCCTTGTTTTCACAACTTTACTCAGATATTTCACTGAGTGCCCTCCGTGCCCAATGACATAAACATCAATAAGGTAAGAACGGCCGGGTTGGAGGCCTTTAATTGTTTCAGTGGTCACTGCCTTCTGTAAGTTTTGGCTGTGGAAATACTTACAGAGAACCTTCTCTGATTTCTTTCTTGTTTCCGGCCCTAGGCACTGGTTCTGTTCTCTTTTCTTTTGGTTTTCATTGTAGTTATCATCCACTTCCTTTCTATAGATGCAAAACTTGTTTCTTTCCTGGGTGCCCAACCAGGCCACTGTGGCCGAAGAACACGTACGGAGCTTGTCGAAGGTCTTGATTCTCGTGTCTTCAGGGAGGGAGGGGAATGACTGCTTATGGAGCCGTGTGGTCACCAGGATCTTCAGCATGGAGGCCCCCTTCTTGTTTCCCTTCAGCTTAATGAGATACTTGGCTTTCGGTTTCCCCCGAAGCTGAAACTGATGGACGCCTTCCACGTTCTGGGACAAAAGAAGTTTCCCATCTCGCCTGACTTGGATCTGAATAATGTCCAGGCAGGAGTGGACAAAGAAGGTGACTTTTTGATGGGATGAGACAGGAGCAAACCGGAGAAACTTGGTGCCCTTTCTCTTGATGAACACATCAGTGACTTTCCCATCTTTGAGGTCCACTGTCTTCTGCTTGGCTTCCTCTTTGGTTCTGGCAAAGGTGCCAATGTAAGCAGTGCTTGTGTTGCTGGGCACTTTGACCACAAACACATCAAAATAGTACTGCGTGTCAGGTTTCAGGTCAGACACTGTATAGATATTCTTGTTCCCAATGCAGATCTTCTGAATGTCCACCTTGGCCTTGGAGTAGATATGCCGCCCCATTTTGGGAACTGGCTTGCCTGAGAAGCCCCGCTCTCTGCCAGGACCATTTTCTGAAGGAAATCCAAAATGGGCAAAGTCAAATGGGCTGAAGTCCAGGCCAGGCTTGGGCGCCATCATGAAGGCATCATCAGCAGTCATCTTGGCCTCAACGGCACAGAGACTCTTGAAGTTGTGCTCTCTGTTGATGACTACACAATATTGAATGGGCTGTTTGAGCAGGGAGGCCGTGGGGCTGGGTTTCCATACCAAAGTCACCGTGGTGTGCCCCAGAGAAGTAACATCCACTCGTGGGTCATAGGGCAACTCGGGGTAGGGCTGGTCAGACTCTGGTGTAGTGGTGGCATAGACTTTAAAATGGGTATCCTTCTCAGTGGAGAGAAGCTCCAATTGGTACAAGCCAGATGGCGAACTTGAAGACATAAACGACTCCACGTCATTTCCTTTGTAGGAGAATAACTCAGTGCCATCCTCGTTAATTATCTGCTGCTTCTGCTGTTCAAGTGGCTCGGGTTCACCTAGAAAAGATGAGCAGAGACATATTTTAAAAGGCAGGTTGTCTCATGCCTCTGACAAGACAAGATGAATTATCCATATTGGGCAGCTAATAGGAAGGCAAATATATGAAAAAATAGCTGAAGCCTGGCACAATGAGCTTGAGTTTAGACCCCAGCTCTGGCACTTAGGGCCTGAGTGACTTTGACCAAATCACTTGACTTTTATTTGACTCAATTCGCTGCTCTTCAAAATGAAGGGAACTGGACAAAATGATCCTTACCACCCCTTTCCAGTTCTAAACTCTAACGATTTATGCCAAACATTGGCAAACTATAACTCTCAGGCCAAATCTGGCCCACAACCTTTTTTTGTATGGCCTGTGATTTCAGAATGTTTTTACATTGATGCCTAATATGTGCATCAACTTCTGTGGGAAAGGCTCTAGGGGGGACTAACGAAGCAAAGAGGCAAAGGCTTGAGGCTGTGGTTTGGTCGTGTCTTTTTTTTTTAATGAAAATCAATTTATTTATTGAGACAGATGATTGATAGATAGATGTTGTTTTTCAGTCATGTCTGACTCTTCATGACCCCATTTTGGGGTTTTCTTGGCAGAGGTACTGAAGTGGTTAGCCATTGCCTTCTCTAGCTCATTTTACAGATGACTAACTGAGGCAAACGGGGTTAAGTGACTTTGCCCAGGGTCACACAATTAATAAGAGTCTGAGACCAGATTTGAACTCATGAGTATGAGTCTTCCTGATTCCAAGCCCAGTGTTCTATCCACTGAACCCCCAGCTGTCCCAAATAATAGGGGTGTGTGTGTGTGTGTGTGTGTGTGTGTGTGTGTGTGAGAGAGAGAGAGAGACAGGGACAGAGACAGAGAGAGACAGAGAGAGAGAGACAGAGAAGGCAGCTAGGTGGCACAGTAAATAGATCACTAGACTTGGAGCTAAGAAAACCTAAGTTTAAATTCTGCCTACTACACTTACTTAGCTGTGTGACCCTTGGAAGTTATTTGCTGTCACTCAGCCTCACTTTGCTCATCTGTAAAATGGAGGAAAATCATAGCACCTACCTCACAGGATCAAATGAAACAAACCACGTAAAGTACTTTGTAAGTCTCAAGTTGCTGTATCAATACCATTTACTAAGCAATCATTTAGTCCATGAAATGTCTATGGGTTAGATTTGAAGACAAAATCCAAACCATAAAGTCCCTGATTTCAAAGGGAGCTCAGAAGACAAACTTGTGCATGAATAAGATTTTCCTCCCAGATAAGTGTTCAGTTATGGGATATGATGCAGGTGATATGCCAGCAAATTGGACTGATAAGATGTCAGACAGAATGGAGAACCAGGAGAGAGAAAGGTCGTGAAAACTCAGAAGAGAGAAAGAGGATATCCAGAATGAGAAGATGATAAACAGTGTCAAATGCCTCAGAAAGGTCAAGAAGGACAAGGATTGGAAAAAAAGCCATTGGGTTCCATAATGAAGAGATCCCTGGTTATTTTGGAGGGAGTAGTTTCAGCCAAACAATAAGGTCAGAGGCCAGAGAACAAAGAGTTGGAAAGAGAGTAAGAAGAGAAGAAGTAGAGAGAGCTTTGTTAAGAAGGGGAGACACGGTAGTGTGCTAGCTGCCATGGACGTTTGGATCAAGTGAGGGCTGTGTTTTTGTTGCTGTTTGTTTTGTTTTTTAAGGATGGAATAAATATGGGTCTGTTTGTAGACAGGAGAGAGACTGAAGATGGGGGGGCGTTGATAGAGAGAGCAATATATTGGCGAGGATGAGAGGGAGGAGGATCACGTGTGCATGGAGACAGCTTTGACTTTGTGAGCAGAGAGACAAGAGTGAAGGAGAAGTGATGCAAGATGGAGGAGGGGGAGGAGGCCTCTTGGAGAATGGCCTCAATTTTTACAGGGAAGTAGGGTTGTGGGCCTTAGCTCTGAGAGGGGTAGAAGAGGTATCCTAGGAAAACTGAAGAAAACAAGAGGGTTTAGAACAGCCACTGTGGCAGTGGGGAGTGAATCAATTAGGTACAAGACAAAGAGTTGCCCTGTTGCAGTGAGGGCCCATTTGAGAGTGGAAATCATGAATTTGTAGTTGACTCAGCATACGTACACACACACACATACACACACACACACACTCATCCTTGTCGGGTCATATGTAGCAAAGTTGCATGGTTGGAGAAGGAAATAATCTAATCCCTTCATCTGTGGAGACCTACTGCCCACCCTGGAGAAGTGGATTCTATAAGTTGATAGTATTAATCTTCAGGCTATATCACATTTATAAATTTGTATAACCAATTTACAGAATTAATAAAGGAATGGAGGATAGAGACTGGACCTGTGGTTTCATTGACAGGGTAACTCTGAGATGGAGGAATGCCTTCTGCTCATGGTGCTTGGCAACTTTTGTTCTTAGAAAATATATTAATAGAGCAATGAGAAATTTAGTGATTTACCAAGAGTCATACAGTTAACACGTGTTAGGAGCAGTACTTCTGACAATCATGACAATGATCCATTGAAGATAGTTCCTCTCTTTCAGAAAGACAGACATCATAATATCCTGTGAGAGCCGTGAATTGGTCCAAACATTCGTAACATCATTTGGAACTGGGTGAACAAAGTGAATAAAATATCGAATTTTGACCCAGGGATTTCACTGCTAAGCATACGCTACCAGGAGAGCAAAGACAAGACATAGAGGTCCCACGTACACCGAAATAAGAGTGGTTAGTGCTGCAGTGGGTAGAGTACTGGGCCTGGGGTCAGGAAGACTCATCTTCCTGAGTTCAGATCTGGCCTCAAACATTTACTAGCTGTGTGACCCTGAGCAAATCACTTAACATTGTTTGCCTCAGTTTCCTCATCTCTAAAATGAGCTAGAGAAAGAATGGCAAACTACTCTAGTATCTTTGCCAAGAAAACCCTAAATGGGGCCATGAAGAGTTGAACATGGCTGAATAACAAATATACCAAAACATTCATAGCAGCACTTTTTGTGTTTGCAAAGAATTAGAAACAAGACAGATGTTTCTAGATTGGAGAATGTCTAAACAAAATGTGGTACACAAATATGATGGAATATCTGTGTGCCATGAGAAATCACGAAAACAAAACAAATTCTTCCCATAGCTGCAGGGAGCAGTAAATTCTCATAGAAACATGAGTGACCTTGAGGAAAAGGAACGATCCAGACATGCTCAATGCAGAAGAAGAGGCACGCAAGGCAGTAGCCAAAGGCACAGCCAAAGCCGAGGCAGGGGCAGGAGCCTGCAAGGCTGAAGCCAAGGTCTGTGAGGCCTAGGCTGCTCCTATGCCACAAGGGACAGGCAGCGCTTTGTCTGCTGCTAGATAGGAGTTAAATAGGAACCCTTATTGGCTCGAGAGGCTCTACCATACTTGTATCAAGCCACTCACTGGCATGTTCATGAGCACCAAAGCAGAAGGAAATCAACATCGTTTCTACATCCATGGAACCTAAGAAACCTATAGAAGAGGACAAAATAGTGCCCAGCAACACAAGCACTCTCTCATCCTCCAAGTACACCAACGTGTACTTGGTTGGTACCAGTCAGTACTCAGATAATGTGCACTTATCTGATCTTAAGGAAGAGAAAGCCCAGTTGCCTCCAGACAAATGAAAGGCACCTCACATTTTGTCCCTGAGTCACTCCAGTCCAACAGCCATTCTATTTCAATCTTTTTCAATTTCGAGAAATGCCTCTTCATGATCTACTCAGCACTGAGCACAACTGGGCATGCAAAGATAGACACTTCACACAGACTCTGCTCCTAATCAATGCCATGACCAACTTTGATCCCAGATACAAAGATACTAGTTTGTCATTCCTTCTCTAGCTCATTTTACAGATGAGGAAACTGAAGCAAACAGCATTAAGTGATTTGCTCGGGGTCACACAGCTAGTAAGGGGGATGAAGAATGGTGTTTACCTTCTGACAGAAGGGAGCGGGGAGTTCAATGCAACCAATGAAACATACACTTTGGGCCATGACCTAAGTGGGCATTTTACCCAATTAGGGATATTGGTTTTAAGGGATTGGTTTCCTTTTTTTTTTTAATTTTGAAGAAAAGGGGACAAGGGGAGGGAAGGAAGGAGGAGTAAAATCAAATTTTGTTCATTGAAAAAATAAAATGGAATCTATTTTAAAAAAGCAAAATGATGAAAACAAAGAAAGAGGCTATCAGTGGAGAACACAGACAGTTCCGTCATCTTTCAGATTCAGAGAAACATAGGAAGACTTCTATGAAGTGGCCAAGATTGAGGTAAACAGAACCAAGAAAACAGGATGCAGTGTAAATGAAAGGAAACAAAAACAGAGGAGACTGAATGCCATGATTAGAATTACTAAGCTCGTCCTCAAAGAAGAGATGACCACGAGCATATGCCTGCATTCTTTGCATAGTGGGTGAGCCTACTGGTGTGGAACACTGAGAAGCTGTCAAACTCAGTTGCTTTATTGGTTAGTTTGATGAGTGACTTTTCCCCCCTCTTGTCTCTTCTCTGTTATAAGTGATGGTTCTCTGGGTGGGTGGGATCTATGGGGAAATGAAAGTTTATATATGAATATATGTGTGTGTATCTGTCTGTGTATATACACACACATATACAGTTACACAACATACATAACGTAGACATGCATGCAATACAATGTACACACCTATATGTATACGCATGCTCACACATGTGCATATTATATACATATATGTATGCATATTCTTGTGTATATATTTCTTTTTTTTTTAAGAGAGAGCAGAAGGTCCCTCTTTATCCCTGGAGTGCTGGGCGGAATTTTCCAAATCCAGTGCTCCCTGATGTCTGATCGGGAGCCAAGGGCACTCACTGCCTTCCTCTTCACAGGATGCTGGTGGCGCAGGTCCATCCAGGGAGGGAAGAGCAGCAGCTATCCCTCCTTCCTCACCTGAGCTTTCTCCACTGGCCTCTTCAGGCAGCTCCTGCAGGCTCAGCTTCCATTCCAACGGTGCATCGCATGGCGTTACGGTGACAGACAGAGGGGTATTGTCTTCTTCCACCACAAAGAAATACCTGGGGCAGGGGGAGAAATAAATGAATAAGCATTTAAGCACCTACTATTTGACAGGCACTATATACCAATACAGTGAATGCAACCATCCCTACTTGCAAGGAACACACACAGTAAGACTCTGCCATGGGTGGTCGGCCCACATTCTCCAATGGCATCCCTTCAGTATCAAGAGAGTGAAAAAGGCCCTCATCACGCTGGGTGGAGCCCCTTTGGCAAATTTGTGACAGGCCATGGGTAAAGTCCCCAGGACATGCAGGCATGTATGGGCTCCAACCTCTTCTTTGGCGGTCATGACCACTTGGATGGAATTACAGATGCATCATGTATGACGTTGACAGCTTTGGCCTAGAAGTAACCTGCCTGGCTTATGCCAATAAACCAATAAAGCAGGCACGCTAAGCTTGACTACTTCTAAATAACTGGTGACTTAGACAAAGTAGGTTTTGTATTTGCAAACTGATCCTGGGTTAAGAGCTCACCCAGGGCAGGACTCATTATCAAAGGCATTGCTCAGCAGAGACAGCACAGTTCAGTGGAGAGATCACTGGGTCTGGGTTCAAATTCAACCTCTGTTTTGGGCTGGGGATGATGGACACATCACAAGCTCTCTGAGCCTCATTGACTTATCTGTAAGATGGGTATGATAGTGTCTACTACCATTTTGCTAGTTTAAAGGATGAAATCGAGATGCAGGAAAAGAGTTTTGTGAACTTTAAAGTATTATGAAGATGTCACCTTATTATTATATTAGGCTACTTCTTCTCCATGAAGGTGGTGAGCTTGAAGGCATTCTAAGAAAACACTGCCACTGAAAATTTTTATAGCTACCCAATTGGAAAAGTGTTATTCTAACAATGTAGTTCTCAAATTACTGTTTGCTTTTGGCAAAAGGTAAAAGGCAAAAATAACCCAAAACAAAAAAAAAACAATTTAATTATATGTTAACAATGTTTTTTGTTTTTTAATATATTTTTAAATGAGTGATTTTCTCAGTGTGGAAACTCCCTCCACTGATGCAGATAGCAACCCCTCTCCAACCTAAATCATCAGTGTTTAGAGCTGGAAGAGACCTTAAAGGTTATCTAGTCCAATCCTTTCCTTTTAGAGATGAACAACATAAGTTGCCAGAGGTGAAGTGTGACTTATGTTCAATGTCACTCAGGCAGTCAGCATTCGAGTTTGAGCAGTCTGGTGTGATGAATGAAGTGTTGAACTTGTAGGTAAGAAGGCCTGAGTTTGGGGCAGCTAGGTGGCACAGTACATAGAGCACTGGCTCTGGCATCAGGAAGACCTGAGTTCAAATCTAGCCTCAGACACTTGATCACTTGATACTTACTAGCTGTGTGACTCTGGGCAAGTCACCTAACCCCAACTGCCTCACCAAAAAAAAAAAAAAGGCCTGGGTTCGTATTTCACCTCAGATACAAGCTGTGTGAGTTTAAGCAAGTTGTTTAACTCATCTGTACCTCAGTTTCCACACTTGCCAAACACTGGATTCAGTGACCTCCAAGCTCCTCCCAGCTCCCTGTCTATGCCGCTACCTTGTCTGCCATTATGAGTCACCATAGTAATACATCAGAGAGGACAACAATGGGTACTATTGAAAATATAAAACTGTTCTCCCTACAGCAGAGAAAGTTAAATTGAATTCTTCTTTATGACTATGACCGTGCATTATTTGTTACATGGGTTTGTTTTTTCTTCTTTTATAATTGGGAAAGGGTTGGAGGGGGAGAAAACATGCGTATTAATTAAAAACAATCAAAGTTTAAAAGCTGTACTCTGAGTCTCAGATTTTTATGCCCAGTTCACAGATGGCAAAACTGAGGAAGGAGAGTTTTCAATTCTAGCCTTATTTTATGCCAATTCCATAGAAATAGGAGTAGAATACGCACACCACCTCTCTACCTTTAGCCCTATAACCCATCAGCTTTACGAAAACGCAGTCTCTAGACAGTAAAATGGGATTGAGTTTTTTCTTGCAGCCTAGAAGCAAATTTAAGAAAGAAACTGGTGAAATGGAGTCAGCATTGAAGACTCAGAGCCTTTCTAGCTCAGTGGAACTGTCAGAATCCTAGAATGACCTTTGAGGCTTCAAGGTCAAGTTTATGACCTGCTAAGGCACTGGCAAAGGAGCTTCAGGGATTTCAGAAGAGGGATCTCTGTAGAACAAAGGTACACATTTGGTCAGATCAGAAACTGCTACAATTCTCACTCCCTTGGACCATCTATTTTGTGCTTGACTAGGTTCATGTTAAAAAAAAAATAGAGGAATGAGGAAGCTGTAGCCCTCTTAGCTGATTTTCCCAATGGGACCCTGGACCAGGACCCCATTAATTCTACCTGGGGGGAAAGAACTCTTGGGCTTTTTGCATCTTGCTATCTAAGCTCATACCACTACATAAATTGAAACATCTCATCACATGTCATTATAGCGCTCTAAGAAAGAACCATTTTTCTTTTTTCAATAAAGAGGCATCATATATCAATGATAACAACAGCTAACATCATATAAGTTTAAGATTTGCAAAGAACTGTTAAAATATCTTATATGAGCCTCAAAACAACCCTAGGAGGTAGGTCTTATTATTATTCCCATTTTACAGATGAAGAAATTGAGGCTGAGGGAGAAATGATTTGCCTATGGTCAAGTAGCTGGTAAGTATCTGAGGCCGGATTTGAACTCCAGTCTTCCTGACTCTAAGTCCACTGCCCAGTCTACCTTGCAACCAAGCTACCTCAATCAGTCAGTTGACAAATAGAATAGATGACAAATTATAGATGTAAATATTGGTAAATTTTGTATATGAGTTATTTCTATAAATTATAGCTAGATAGATGAATAGTGTTTGGATGGATAGATAGGTGATAAATACGTAGATAGATATCAATGATACAGTTATAGATAGAAAAGATAGAATGAGAGACAGGTAGACGACATAGCAAGCATTTTTATGAAGTGCTTACCATGTGCCAGGCACTATGCTAAGCTCTGATGATATAAAGAAAGCAAAAGGACTCCACGTTCAGCAAACCTAAGGCAACTAGGCAGCACAGTTGACAGAGCAGTGGGCCTATGGTCAGGAAGACCTGAGTTCAAATCCTGCCTCAAACACTTACTAGCTATGCCACCCTGGGCATCACTTGACCTCTGTCTGCCTCAGTTTCCTCATCTGTAAAATGAGGATTCTAACAGCACCTCCCTCCCAGGGTTGTTGTGAGGGTGGAAGGAAGCAGCATGGAAAAGGGCTTTTCAAACCTTAAAGCCCAAATGCTAGTTATCATCATTAGATCAGATCTCAAATGCAATATTCTACGGGTGCTTTATGGAGACACAAGGACAGAGAGAACCCCAGGAACAGTACCTTTTCGATGTGTCTCTGAAGAGATAGCTGCTGATCTCAGCTCCGTCTGGTAACATTGACGAATCATGAAACTGCGCTTTATCCTGGATCTGCATCTGGAACAGCTCTTCATCGCGAGTCGGTAACTTCTGGGCCCAGGAAGCAAGGGGTAACAGCAGCCAGAGCACACCCCAGCGAATCAGCACCATCCTGCAAAGAGAGAGGCATCGTTGTTCGTTCGTGTCTGACTCTTCACCCCATTTGGGGTTTTCCAGGCAAAGATCCTAGAGGGCTTTGCCATTTCCTTGTCCAGCTCATTTTACAGATGAGGAAACTGAGGCAAATAGGGTTAAGTGACTTGCCCAGGGTCACACAGCTAGGACGTGTCTGAGGCTGGATTTGACCTCAGGTTTTCCTAACTTCAGGTCTAGCACTCTATCCACTGTGCCACCCAGCTGCCCTAGAGAGAAAGAAGGACTGGTCTGAATGACAGAAACAGAATGCACACCTGAGCAGAGCATGATGACTCCAAAGGGCTGAGATGGGAGACCTTCTGAATTCAGTCCCTGAAATCCCGGAACATGGACAAAGCCCCTGGATTTCCCTTCCATCTGTGATGAATGCACACAGAGCCCGCAGAGGTAACCGATCTTGTATCTTTGCCCCAACACAGCCACCTAAGGGATTCAGAATCACTTCCACAGGACAATGGAGGAAGACCTGAGTCTGCCATCCAACACTGAAGCTTTTGAAATCATTTCTGAGCCCCTATCTTGACCATACAATGCGTTGTGCATATTCCCTAGCTTTGTGTCTTCAGCGAATTTAATGTGTCTTCACTGCCTTTATCTAAGTTATTCATAAAGTCTGGCTTTAATCACAACAACATCTCACAGGATCATGGATTGAGAGCTGGAAGGGTCTTTGGAGATCATTTGTCCACCCTCCCCAATTTCACAGATGAGGAAACTGAGGCAAATACTCATTAAGTGACTTGTTCAAGGTCATACTGCTAGGAAGGGTCTGAGGCAGGATTTTAACCCAGTTCTTCCTGACTCCAAGACAAACACTCCTCTGATTTAGTTCTTTATTAATCCAACAGGGGAATATTTCTTCGAGAAACTGCTGTATGTTCTTGTTCCAGATGAAAGAAGCTAATATTTTAATTGTGGGGACTTTTGTACTGAGGTAAATGCCCAGGGGTACATTTAATTGATTAGTTGGGTCAATTTGATTTTTTAAATAAAATTTCATTTTTAAAATAAAAACTTAAAGATCTGATCTCTATGATAACTAGTTTTAATTAAAATTTGCTTTTTCAATGAAAATCCTTTCTCCTTTTCCACCTCCTCTGCCTCCCCCTTGAAAAAGAAATTTTAAAAAATGATAAACATAAACCAAATTCTCAAATTGACCATGTGCCGCTCCTTCTACCCCCCCTAAAAGTGCCTCAATCTGCAATCATTCAGAATCCATCACCTCTGGCCAGAGGAGGGGAACAAATTCCCTGGACTCATGGTCAATCATTGCACGAACAGATGAGCCTCCCAACAGCTCTATGAAGTCAGTATAAGCATTAGTAATCACCTTGTTTTATTGTTGAGGAAACTGAGGCTCTGAGTAATGACTTTTCTGAGACCACATAGCTCATTGGTACCAGGGTCTGAGTCAAATCCAGGTGTTTCCTGACTTGAATTCTAGTGCTCATTCCTTTATTCTACATTACCACCATGACATTGTGAAAAGAACACTAGATTTGGCATCAGAGTGCCCGACTCTGAATTCCAGCCTTGCTACCTTCTGCCTATGTGACCATTTCAAAAAAGTGTTATTTCAGCTTTCCAGACTTTAGTTCATCAATTTGTAAAATTAAGGGATTAGACTACATGACCTCTACAACATGCTATGGCAGGTAGGTAGCTCAGTGGATAAAACACCCAGCCTGGAGTCAGGCAGCCCTGAGTTCAAATCTGGCCTCACACACTTAGTAGCTGTGTGATCCTGGGCAAGTCACTTAATTCTGTTTGTCTCAGTGTCCTCATCTGTAAAATGAGCTGGAGAAGGAAATGGCAAACCACTCCAGTATCTTTGCCAAGAAAACCCCAAATGAGGTCACAAAGAGTCGGAAGCAACTAAATAATGTGCTACTTTTTTTGCATGAATGGACAGGTACAGGAACTTTACTGAGCTATTCAGGCCTAATAATAACAGAAGGGGCCGGGGGACAGAAAGCAAGCTCTCTTTGGATATTTATTTCAGATGCTTCTCCTTTTCTAATTACCAAGAATGATACTTCATTTTTCCCTTAAAGGGCAAGCTGTTGTTGTTGTTAAATAAATCAGAGAGGAAGAGAATGTTTAGAGGGTGCACTGGAATCTCCTAGTGCAGGTATTCCTAACCTTTTGGTGAGTCTTGGATCCCTCAGGCAGTCAGATGAAGCACAAGGACCCTTTTCCAGAATGTCCCAAAATGCATAAAATACAAATGATTGCAAAGGAAACCAATTATACTGAAATACAGTCATCATTTAAAAAAAAATTACAGACCCTCTGAAATCTATCCACATAGTTCACTAGTCCACCTAACAATTCCATTACTTTACAGATGTGTTAGCAGAGATTGATCCTTGCCCAAGGTCACCCAAGGGGAGAGTTGATGTCCTGTCCCTTAACCCAGCTTTTGTCATCACCAGAACCTAACAAAACTTGAAAGCAATGGAGACCGTGGTGAGGTGAATTCGGGACCTACAGTAAAGAAGAAATTATCCCAGATCCTGCCTCTGACATGCACAAGCCATTTAAACCTCTCTGAGCCTCTTTCCTTATGTGTAAAATGAGGGAATTGAACTCTAAGTTTTTTTACATCTACTCCAGCACCATAATTATAATCTTGTAATATTTTTATATGTTAAACTTTCGTGGGAAGTGGTCATAGACTACATTTATGTTTTTGCTATTATCTGCTTCCAATTTTTTGTACGTAGCTTGTTTGAAAAGGTGAGGTTGAACAATTAAAATTGAATTTTGTCATATTGCTGTCTTTCTCCCAACTAATCTGATGATCAGTTTTGATCTTTGCCTTAATACATTTATATTTTACACACTTAATGCTAATTTCAAAGTGTCTTGTGCATTGGTGGTCTCTAAAAATATAATTATTTTCTTCCTTTCTTTCTAGTGTCCATTCTAGTAGGCATTTTATGATGTCAAATTTCAATTAAAATATAAAAAGATGATCTTTTGAAATTCATATATTATTGAGAAAACTTACTTCATTCTCCGTTCTACAACATTGGATAATTAGTTCATTAATTAGGTCAAAGGCTGATTTGTTATTTTTACAAAACATATCTGTGAAACTGTAAACACTCCTCAAATGCAAATTATTGCCTATATGTATTTTATTACAAATAAAACCTTACTTTGATCATCTTTGAAAGCAGATCCATATATTTCATTAAATCATTTTTTTCTACAAAATGAAAATGTTTTCCTGCTATCAGTCACTATGTGTAAGCACCAGACACTTCAAATAACCGTCTAAAAGCATTTCTTCTTAGAACAAACCCAAAGCAAAGTGTAGAGTTTTCTTCTCTAGGATTGCAAAAGTGCCCTCTAATGGTATATCCTTTCCTCTTTCTGATTTTCAGTTTCCTCTTGGTTAATCAAGAGGAAAAGGGAACTAGGGGTTATTTCACTTTTAATCCTTTTTCTTTTCCTTCTGCCCTTTTTCTGGGAGTGCTGAGGGCAAAGTGGGAAATCCAGCAGTGGTAGATACAAGCATCACACCACCACCACCAACACCACCCCATAGAAGTTGCAGAACTATGCCAAATATAATTTCTAGTTGAGCTGACTAGCCCTGGTCAATTTCCAAGGAGGTCCAATAATTAGTGGTTCTCACTATCATCTAATGAATGGTAACATGGCCTCCAGTAAACTGCTTAGATAGAAAATTATGAAAAGAATAGAGCCCCTAACTGGGTTAAAATCCCATTCTCATCTATGATATTGAAGAGTCTGTCCCCTTTTTGGAAATTACATTTAGACCCTTTCAAAACTAAACTTCCAAAAGGAAGATGATAGAATCATAAGTATATTTCAGAAAAGTTTACTACTGGCACACAGTGAAAGGGATAGCTTACCTACACCATAAGTATCACTTCATCTTAAATGACTTTATTCCTTAACAACTCATTTGACATGATCCATTTTGTCAGCCAAGGAGACAAATGGGCTAAAGTTTGGGACAAAAAGACCCTGGGCAGAGTCTGGCTCAGGTCCAAGGAAGTGATATGGAAAGGGCTTTCTGCACTCTGGTATTTACAGTAACTTTCTTTCAGGAATATGCTGTTGTAAGCATGTCAGCTCAGGATATCAGGATATAGGAGGAGGAATAAGGGTCCTTGTTTTTTGAGGCTGACACACGGGATTCACCAGAGACAGGAAGAATACTAGGGACAAGATACTATAGGCATAGTATGTATAAGAATGATACATAGTACATACAAGAATACTAGGCACTACAGCCACCAGAATACTAGAAGAATAACGAATCAATAGACACCAGGTCATGGTAGCCAGAGGATAAACTGAGTCATGTAGTAGGACTGTTACCTGGATGATCATGCCTCCCACAGCCCAAATAGAGGTGGTCTTCCCATCCCTACTATGAAATTTTGAAATTATTTTCTATTTAACTTATTTGTGCATGTGCTTTCCCTTCCTGACCCCCCCCCCACCTCACCAACCTTGATTAAAGGTAAACTCCACAGGGGTAGGGTTATTTCATTCTCATCTATATATCTCTAGTACCTAGCACCATGCCAGGCACATAAATGCTCCCTGAAGAAAGGAAGGAAATAATCATTTATTTATCCACCTACAATGTGCCAGGCACTGTATTACAAGTATTATCTCATTTGATCATCACATCAACCCTGGGGGGTAGGTGCTATTATTACCCCCATTTTACAGTTAAAAAAACTGAGACAGAGAGAAGTTAAGTGACTTGCTCAGGGTCACACAGCTAGGAAATGTCTGAAGTCAGATTTAAACTCAAGTCTCCCTGACTCCAGGCACAGCACTCTATTCACTGCTCCACCAAATTGCCATTGAATTGGACTGAGCTCAGACTAAGGATGTGTTGAATTATGCTAACACCCACCAATGATATATAAAGAAGATAAAGCGGGGCAACTAGGTGGTGCA